CCAGGGCAATATATCCATGTAACAAACCTGCACATGTACCCCCTATATCTAAAATAAAGGAAATATAAAATAACTTTAAAAATTAAAAGAACTGAAAACAGGGTTTCAAAGAGCTATTTGCACATGCATGTTCATAGCAGCACTATTCACAATAGCCAAGAGGTGAATGTAATCCAAATGTCCATCAATGGATAAATAAATACAATGTGGCATATATATACAATGGAATACTATGCAATTATAATAAGGAAGGAAATCTTGTCACATGCTAGAACATGGATGAACCTTGAAGATATTATGCTAAGTGAAAGAAGCCAGTTACAAAAAGACAAGTAGTGTGTGATTCCACTTAGCTGAAGTATCCAAAGTTGATACTTTATATATAGAAAGTAGAATAGTGGTTACCAGGAGCTGAGGAAAGGGGCAAAGGGGAGTTGCTTAATTAGTTTCAGATCTGCAAGATGGAAAAGTTCTAGGGATCTGTCTCACAACAATGTAAATATATTTAATACTACTAACCTGTACACTTAAAAGTGCTTAAGATAGTAAATGTTGTATGTTTTTTTTAATCACACTAAAGAAAATCTTAAATAAAAATAAGAAAAATATATAAAGAAGTCTAAATCATCTGTTTGCTAAATAGAGAAAGAGAAAAGAAATGAATGGGGAGTAGGTATTTTCCTTTAGTGTAAGTGGGTATGTTTTCATTTCTGGTGTAGTGTACAAATGCCGGTTCCATAGAGAGAGAACAAAGGGTTAAAACCTTGTACATGAGGCCCAGAGCTTTCTAAAATCCAAATTAGACACTAAAATTCATCATAAAAGCCAAAGTGTTGGATCCTCTACCTTCAGAATCTCATCACCCACATTCTCAGAAAAAGGAAGAATCCTGCCCACAGTAAGGACTGATTCCACTCCAGGGAATCAACAAGAATATCTAGGTTGTGGCAGTTCGGGTTCTTGTTGCAAATAACTGAAACAGATACCAGCAATTTCGGGGGAAAGGAATTATGGAGCTATCATAGGGAGCTGACAAGACTCCACGATAAAACTAGAGGACCAGTTTAGAAAACAGAAGGAATTTTCCTGTCTGGGTAGCCAAGAATACACTCATGACACATCGCAGATCAACTGCATAAGGACACCAGCCACAGCTATGGTTGGCCCCAGCACCCCTGGACATTCACTGCCACAAACAACCTCCAACATTCACTGCCACAAACAATCTCCAACTGACCCTGTATTTCTACATCATCTCCTTAATGTTCAAATTCTGGAGTAGAAAAAAACTGATTGGTCATGCCAGGGAGATTCCATTCAGTGGGGAACTCCTTCCAAAGGGCAAGATATTCAACTGCTAAATGAGAGAGGAGGCAATTGTTAACATTGGTTACCAAGTAGCTTAGCAGCTACTTGGTATGTCTCATGTGCCTAGCTCATCCAGTTTAAAGTAAAGTAATAAATTTCTAATTAATTCCAGTAAACGGAATAAGAATGTATAAGCTTTCTGGATCATGTCACTCACAATGTGGTAGGTTTCCACAGGTTAACCAACCAGATGAGACCACTCAGAAATTACCACTAGGTAAAGCAAGGTGCACAGAAGCAGGTGAGATGAACAAAGCCTGTGGTTAGTTGCCCTCCAATGCTTGTGTCAAAGTCAAATTTGCCCAACCTTGATAGGAGCCGACATGTCTCAAAACTCCTGCCAGAACAGACTATGATGACAGTGCATACACCAACAGCTGTCACCATGACGACAGGACTAACACTGTTCAAGCAGAGAAGATGCCATTTACCTGACACAGTTTAATCAATATGTAATATAAGCCTCTTGCCAGCTCCCAGGTAGTCTACTTGAAAAAATTTCCACAGACTCCAAAGGGCAAAGATACATAGAGAACTAGAATTCATAAAGAGGTAAAAATAAGGAGAATAAAATTAACTGTATTTTACATTATAGTCTTTTATTCATTCAATATATGCTTCTATTCAAACGGCCCTGAAGACTTTTGCTTTTATGATGATAGGACAAAGATGTCTCTACTTTCTTTCAATAAGTCAACAAAACAACAAAGAGTTTCAAAATAGATATACCATACACACACACACACACACACACACACACACACACACATATATATATATAAGATTTGATCTAAAGGCCTAACCTACAACACAAGCAGTAAATGGGAAAAGAAATGGTGAAAGATGTTAGAAAAATGAGAATGGTCAAAACTCAATGTCTACAGAGGCACTATCAACAAGAGGCAAGCTACAGGGCTCCAGAAAAAGTCAGGAACTGGAGGCATCATCTATTGTGCAGGTAGGGTGACTTCGCAAAACAGAAAACAGAAAAATTGAAAGTCTGTATAAGCAGCAGTCAGATCCCAGGGTGCCTCACTCTCCTTGGAGGAGCTAGAAGATATTAATACATTATTAATAAACATGGTGTCAAGGAAGCAAAAAACTTATACACAAGGGCACTGAAGAAAGAGTGAAAACAGGGATAGGAAGTAAAAATCTGCATGCTAGAGAGTGAGACCTTCCACTTCCCTCACCCTACAGGTCCAGAACTCCAATAGCCAAGCCGAGATTCCCAAAGCAGAAGACTAAAAGGCCATTCTCTAGAAAAATTAAACCATCATCTGAGAAAAGACCTACAGATACTACTATCAATATCTGCAATGAGAATGCTAACAGGCTACCAAGTATCCCACAGGGAAGCAAGCCTGCATTCACATAAGACACACACACAGCTTCTAGTGAGCTTCCTAGTGTCTCACCTCTTAAATGAACAAAAGCCAAGGATCAACATACATCTAAAGAAAGCCCACCCCACCCAAGAAAAATGATTAAAAACAAAGTAAAAAAAAAATCAGTGAAAACAGGAACAACACAGGTAACAGAAGAAAACTTCAAATAAATCGTATTTAATATCTTTATTAAGATCTTGTATTCATTTAATAAAAACACAATAATATTAAAAACAATCAGGAAGCAAGAAATGGGGAAACAAGGACAAAAATTCAATGAAAGGATTTTGTTCTTTCCCAGAAAGAACAAAAATCAAATAGGTAGACATTAGATAAAAAAGACTAAAGTAATTAGAAAAATCAATGTAAGAAATCCAATATCCAAATTAATAGGCACTCAAGAGAAAGAGAAAAAGGAAAAAAGTAGGGAGAAAATCTTTAAGAAAAATAATATAAGAAAACATGTAATCACTCAATCATAGAATTTCTTAAAAGGCATACACTCATCACAATGAATGAAAAACAGCTCATACCACAGTAATTCAGCAAAAGATGTGGTGAATACATATATGAATAAGAGATAAAAATTTTTCATAGAGAAAACTGACCAAAACATATAAACAATCAAGAAAAATGGCGTTAGACATCTCAAATGTAGCAGTGAAAACCAGAGGACAATGAAGAAATATCATCAAAATCCTTTGCAAACTAGAATTCTATACCCAGAAACCACCACTGAACTATAAGACAAGAATAAAAGCATTTTTATAGCCTCAAAGTCTGAGGGACAGAAAACTACGAGATTTATATTTTAAGCCTTCTGAATGTAGCACTATTTGCCTTATTACTTTATTTTATTTTGAACTATATACTTTGGAAATATTTTCAACTATTACTTCATTTAGGTCTGCAGGCACAAGAGTACATTTTATATCCTTGGTAATTATGAATAGGATACACCCTTGGTTACCACACACTCCTTTAAATAAAATATAAAATAATGGTATTAACAACCCCATAAAATAATAATCTTTATTTTTATATAACAATATGCTTAAGAAATGCTTTTGAAACAATCACAAAATAAGACAGATATTATCCCTTTCTTAAAGATAAGAAAACTGGGGCTTAAAGAGATAAGTAACTTTCCAAAGGTATCCCAGCTGACATAAGGCAGTACCAGAACTCAAAGTTAAGTCTAATGACATGTTCAGGATTCTTCTCAGGATGCTACAGGTAAGAATCCTCTGTATAATCTACACATAGCTTTATGTTGCAACTTCTCATCTCCATTATGCATGTGGGGGAAGGGAATTGTTTTCTCTGAAGCCACCAAAAGCTCTCTATTATTCCTTTCCTTCATGCTAACTACAACCTAGCTATTTATTTCATCATAAGCACCTCAGCACTGTAGCTCCTTCTTCTTTAGTCGGTCCTTAAATAACTATAGTACAGGTCCAAAAATAAACACTGACTTAGGCACTTAGAGAAATGGCAAAAGGCAAATCCTAACTTACTCACTAGAAGTTTCTCAATTATTTTTCTCAACCTAAGGAGTAAGAAAGTAGGTAAATAAACAAAAGTGACTTCTTCATCTTCTCGTATGCTACATGCAGCAGGAAAGCACCTGATATATGTTCATATGTGATGTGCACTGATGTTCTTAATGATCCCTCTGGCTCATTATCATAAGAAATGGAACTCCGGTTTACAATCAGCTATTAGCAGTTATTTACACCATAAAGGGATATTCAAAGATAATTATCCCCTTTTCTACTCTTGCCCCTAAAATGTATTAATCAAAAAAATAATTTGATTAGCAATTTAATAATAATTAAAATAATTATTATAATAAATTAAATAATTTGTAATGTAAAAATTAAATAATTATTATAATAAATTTAAATAATTTGTAATGCTTCAAAATTTAGAACCTAATACACACACATACACACATACACACAACTCCCCTTTCCCCTCCTGTTTCCAAAGCAAAGACAGAGATAAGATTGACAGACACACATACACTCACAGTCACATACCACCAGCCACTTGCACATACATACACAGTCCATGACCTTGGACTCATATCCCTTCTCAACTTCACCCTCTGTTAGAGTTGGGACCTGAATGAGCAATGGGTGAAGAAGTCACAGTCTTCAATGGAAAAACCCACCTGCACTCTAGGTGACGTGTGTTTTGAGCAATAAAAAGATATAGCATGATAACAATCTAGCCACTTACTCCACAGTATCGGTCGCCATTAAATATCTGAGGTGGCAGGGGGTTGCCTTGAGCAGGTTTTTTTTCCGGGGGGACATTTTTGTACATCCATTGCCTCTGTTCTTCTGACATTGTGATATCCACCTCCTCAAACTCTATCTTGTTGGCTTCCAGAAATCTAACCACATCCTGCTGCTTCTTCTTTATCTACAGAGAAAAGACAAACAAACAAGTAGATATGCTTATGTGAAATAATATGTATATACTTCCAAACTGAACTAGATTTGATTTATGATTCTCAAGAAGTCATTGATACAAAAAAAGAGGTGATTTATGTAAGCGTCATGCACTGCCCGCTCACTAGATCTCCAGTGGAGGACTAAGCCAGTCCCAACACAGTCGTTTCTTTGATGTTGCTGTTGTTGATATGAGATGGGGTCTCTCTATGTTGCCCAGGCTGACCTCAAATTCCTGGGGTTAAGCGATCTACCCACCTTGGCCTCCCAAAGTGCTAGGATTACAGGTGTGAGTCACTGTACCTGGCCACTAACACAGTTGTTTCTTCAACCTAGTCTCCCCACAACTCTGGAGCACAATTCAGGTGGCTTGCAAAGAATAGGAGATGAGAGATTCATGTAGTTCTCAGTGGGCCATAACCACTCCCCATTTCACCCAACCCCACCCTCACCCTTGCAAGAAGTTGACATTTATAGTCATAAAAGCTCCCTTTGCCAAAAACCATCTGAAAACCATGTACAGCCTATCTGGGATGTCGACATTTCATTGATTCATGACAGCAGCAACATTTTTATTCCCCTCAGCAGGCTTCTTCAGAAATTCCACAGCTGTAGCCACTATCATGAAAGCATCCTTTCATCAATTCACAAGAGAAAAATGTTCTCCACTTCTAAGGTGAGAATAAACAACAAATATCATTTTACTTTGAACTGTGTTTCTTAACCCTTTTCATTCCTCTGATCTCTCATTTTTCCTTCTTCAGTCACTAGGGGTCAGATGTGCTCTTGAGAAATTGCAAATAAATCTCTCTAAAGTTTTCAAAATGTTGCCTACCTTCTTAAGAGTACATATTAACTAATTGAGATGGAATGACAACACCGTAGTCTCCCATTATCCATGGAGGATACATTCCAAGACCCCCAGCAGACACCTGAAATGGTAGATAGTGCCAAACCCCTATATACGCTGTTTTTTTCAATCTGATGCCTGGGAGGCACATCCAGGTTTGTGTTTTAAAGAGATCACTTTAATACTATGCAGCTTAAAAAGAAAAAAAGAGAAGATTTGTGTATACTGTTAACATTGTTATGAAAAGATCTCCAAGGCATATAAGTTAAAAAAAAAAAACAAGGAGCAGAACTCTATGTAGACTAAGCTCACGTAAAAACAAATGGAGAAAAATAAGAACACATTTATATTTGCTTGTATTTATATTGTTTTAAAAAAAATTGTTGAAGGTCATGTAAGAAACTAACGAAAGTTGTTATCCAAGGGCTGGGGAAGAAGGAATTCGGTACGGAAACAAAGTGGGAGCAAGAGTTTTACTTTAAAATGTTTTGAACATTATAAGAAATGTGTTAATATTCAAAAACGTAAACAGAAGAAACGTATTTTAATGAGAGAGAGAGGTGGCACCCTAGCTTCCACAGAGCAGCTTGGAGGATGGCTGTACACACCACAGACATGCCCTGTTTAATACAAATCACATTTTCCCACTGTGACATGAAGCAGAACTCAAAGCATTTTGTTGAGTCACTGGCCTCCATGATTCACTTATAAGAAAGGGCAGATGATTAAAAAGAAGAAATGAAAAAACAGCTAAAATCTTAGAAAATTAGCTAGTACTACAGCAAATCACCCAAATAACAAGGTAGGAGAAACTTAACCCAGAAAAGGAAGTTTTCAAGTGGATGTTTGTGACATTAGCATCAGGAAGGAAGATGTGTCACACTACCACCAGCTGTTTGTAAGGTCTGCAGAGGTGAACACGGCCTGGAACTGGAAGCACCCACACTAGTGTGGCGGGGGCAGGCAGTTCAGGAAGCAGGAACTTAGAGGAACACATTGACCTACTGGTTGGGGCCCAGGTAAGAGGCTTCCCATGTGGCAACAGGCAACAGGAAGCCATTAAGGGCACTTCATGGGCTGGGCTTAATTCCAGAGTCCAAATAACCATAACATACACAATCATTTCTTTCACACAATGAGTTTCTTATTCTCCCCACGTTTCAACTCTTCTAAAATGAAATGCATCTTATAATCAATACCAAAAGGAATTTGCTAAGCAAATGGAAGAGAAGTAAATTTTGGGCCCACAGACACTGCTTTCATCTATGTCACTTTATCCATGGGTGGAAGGTACCTGCACCTCTCTTGTTCATTTTTATTTAAACACCCTTGGAAGCAAAACAATGCTAGTTATTTACCCAATAACCAATCTCCCTTTCTTTCTAAATACAGAAGCCTGGTTTTACTTAGAAAAGCAATGGGCTCAGCTACAAAATCATGTTTACCCAAAGACCTCTATTGTTAGAAGTAATCACATGACACAGTTCTGACCAATGTGATGTGAGTCAGACAGTCCTTGGGAAAGCTTCGCTTAAATGAATGAAAACCCAAAGCAGGCTTTTGCCCTTTAGTCTCCATCCTGGCAGAAATGCAGATATTGTGCCTGGAGGTGCAGAAACCACTTCACAAATTTGAAAACAAATACCATAAATATGTGAAAATACCAAATGCTAAGGATGGTCAAGCAGAAAGACAGTAGCCTGGGTCCTTAATGACATTTTGTAGCTGCCACCCCTGTCTCTTCATGCATAGCCTATTCTATGCCTTTCTGTATTAGACAAATAAACCCTTAATAAATTAAGCCACTCTTCATCTAGTTTTCTATAGCTTGCACCCAAATGCAATTCTTAATTGATACTTAAAATGACTTCAGAAATATTGTATTATGATAAAGCACTGAAAATAAAAGCTATTACTGCACAGTACAGGCTGGCAATAAAGGCTGTTAAGACATAAACTTAATATATGTGAGTGAATACTCGTTACTGGATAAACAGGGGAATTTTCTTAATCTACTCCACAGAGCAACAACCAACATGTTGGAACTAAAACAGGCCGGTGATCTAAAGGGATGAAGGGTGCATTTCACCTTAACATTCAAACACTACTACACACCATACAAAGCAATTAAAAGGGAACACAGAATCTCTTGCATTAGATTGTGGGTAGACAAAATATGTACAAGGCCCAAATCCAACCAACCCACTGACCATTTTATATGGCCTGCAGCCAAAAATGGTCTTTATATTTTTAAATAGTTGGGAGAAAAAAATAAAAATAATAATAGTATTCCATGACATGTAAAAGTTATATGAACTATAAACACTAGTGTCCATAAACAAAGCTGTATGGGAACACAGCAACACCCATCCACTCACATATTGTCTATGGCCGCTTTCTCCCTACAATGTTAGAGTTGAGAAGTTGCAACAATGACTGTGTGGTCCCCCAATGCTTAAAATATTGACTAGCTGCCCTGTATAGGAAAAGCTTGCCAACCTTTGGGCTAGATCACAGATATTCATTTCTGGGTAAAAGTTCCCTTTCTCAGTGAGCCCTCCTTTGAACACCTGATTTTATACTTTTACCAGCTACCCAAGAACTCTCTACTCCCCATTCACTGCTGTATTTTTCACCACAACACTTGGCATCTGACAGACTGTATAACTTATGTATTTGTTTGTCCATCTCTGCTATTAGGATATAAATCCCCCAGCTGGGCATGGTGGCTCAATCCTAAAACCCCAGCACATTGGGAGGGTGAGGTGGGTGGATCACCCTGAGGTCAGAAGTTCGAGACCAGCCTGACCAACACAGTGAAACCCTATCTCTATTAAACATGCACAAATTAGCCAGGCATGGTGGCGCATGCCTGTAATCCCAGCTACTTGGGAGGCTGAGGAAGGAGAATCGCTTGAACTCAGGAGGTGGAGATTGCAGTGAGCGGAGATCATACAATTGTACTCCAGCCTGGGCAACAAGAACAAAACTCTGTCTCAAATAAAAAATAAAAAGAATATAAATTCCCCAAGGCTAGGAGATTTATCAGTTTTGTTAAACATTTCTCAATGACTAGGTAAGATGTTCACAGGTAGAAGGGCCTGTGAGATGGGGAGCTTTCCTCCCAAAGAACAGCAGGGCTGATTTGCTCATCCTTGAGGGCTCACCTTGAGTATTAGCTCTTTAGAAAGCCCTGTCTAACCACATTGTTGAAGTTTATTGCCTAAATTTATTAAAATGTTATTTATTTATAGGTCTCTTTGTTTTTGTTCTCACTTTCTCTACAACCTCAGTTCTGGAAGCAGAGGACAGGTGGGAAGGAGGCCTTCAATAAATAGTAACTGAATGGATGATTCAAGAATTATCCCAGTGCTGAATATCAAAGATTTCCAGGTGATGTTCAAGAGAAGCTATTCAAACTAAGTCAGTAATTTATGAACAAATGTAACTCACATTTAGCCCAACAGGAATGTGGATCAAATGACAGTATTTCTCAATCCTAAAGCAGCACAGTTTTTAAAAGCACTGTGCTTAGGATGCTACATCTAACTGTACATAGCCAAAATAATTCAGAAGAGTCTCTAGACTCTAATGTGAAAAAGCCTTTGCTTCTAACTTTGACAATGATTGAAAAAGAAAGTAGTATGTGGTTGCATGTTTAAATAAATTCTATTGTCAGTTAATTTTAATAGTTGCAAGTGTATAACAAAACAAAGTGTTTTATTTTGCTCAAATGGTTTTATTAAATTGTTGATACATTTGCAAATTGATGGCAATTGAGAATTACATAGATGTGTTGGTATTTCCCTGAATCTGCTTTCCATTACTACCATAGTACTCTGTTACCCTCAACCACTTCCCCCAACTAACTTCAGGAGCTCTGAAGAAAACTCCTCCCTCAGATGTGCTTTGAAGCAGCCTTCTTGGCCACTGAATGGATAAGCCTTTACCCTTCTGACTGCAGATCTGTGAATCTGCTGAGGACCCCAATGCCTGCACCCAAGACCTGGTGACCCTCACCAACAGGACGCTGGGCAGTCAGCTGCAGAGTCAAGCTGCGGAGTCTCCTGACTCCATGTGAACACTCAGTGACCCGTGGAAATCTTAGTGAAGACACTGGG